ACCATTCATGGCTTGTTCCGGACGGCCGTTGGGTGTCCATAAGGAACGGGTACGGCGGGCGGCCGAGCCCTAGGCGCCGCTCAACTCGCGGTCGCCGGCCTCCCGTCGCCAGTGCGCGCCGTCGCCGCGACGCGGCCAGCGCATCGGCCGGAGCCGCTTCTCGTGGTTAATTCTCGCTTAGGCGCCTATATAAGACGCCGCGCGAGACCACTCATGGCTTTTATGCCTTTTGCCTGTTGCCAGCTTTGACTGCACATCAGGTATTCTTTTACGCTCTAGCTAGCTTCAAATCGCCTTTTTGAATGCGCAAGCACGTTGGGCACTTGCCTCACCAGAGGTATACTTGCATATCTGCATCGATCTTCACTGCCTTAAGAGTGTCGTAGACACGTTGGCATTTGTGTTTAGATTTCGGCAATTCTACACAACTTTTCGCAGCCCTTTAGAGTGTCCGAGGACACGTTGGCGTTTGGGTTACGAAGTGTATGGTAACACCACGGATCTCCACCTTCTCAATACGATCGAGGATTGAGAGAAGGTTTCGCGCGATCACTTTGGATTGCCTTGACGCTTCCACCGCGGTGGACGTCTCTCTTCGCGACTTCTCCCGTATTGCATATACTGGATATTATCGCCGACAGAACTTACTGTTGGGATCACGCCTCCGCGCGAGTCGTCATTGTCATCAAGAACTCTGCGGCCAGGGCCGCAGCTCTCCCGCGAGCCACGCTCGCATTTACGTCCGCCTAGGACTTAGCCGCTGCCAGGGACGCAGCATATACACGCGAGCCCAGCTCGCCTTCACGTCCGCACCGGACTTAGTCGTTGTCAGGGACGCAGCTCTCAGGCGAGCCAAGCTCGCTATTGCTTCGCTGCCAGGGCCGCAGCCCTCACGCGAGACATACTCGCTATTACTTCCCTGCAAGAGGCACAGCGCTCTCGCACCACCTGATCGCTGGCCTAAGTCTACTCAAGACTTCTACATCGTCGCATCCGCAACTCTATATGCGAGGACTCTTCGCTTCTCGCCTCGACGAGACTTAGCATTCGTCACGCACACGGTATTATCAACGTTTACGGTTACCTGCACGTCAACGTCAGGCTTCGACTCGGCCGCGTACGCGATTCAGAGTTACGTTTGCGTGTAAGCTCTTACTACAAGACATCGCATTTGCTGCGTGCGCGACTGATAAAGGCGAGTTCAGCTCGTCTGTCTATCATCTCGGATTCAGCCTCTGTTGCTTCCTCGCCAAACAGAGCTGAATCTCATTCGGACCGGTTCCGACACTCACCAAAGGAGACGGACTAGTGTCTCCATACTCTGAGTGACTATCATCCTCCGAAAGGGGGATTCATTCCCAGCGCGGAGGCGCCGGGCAACTCCACGCGGGCTTTATACTGAGCCACGCAGTGCGCTTATACACAAGAACGCTCTCGCACTTCCTCTCACCATCTTCCGAGGCTCCTGAATAGGAGAGCACAACATATACTCGCGCAACTGACGATAGCAGTCGACGAACGTTCGACGGCATATGACGAACCAGCCGCTCTAGACCTCAGGCCGTTCGAAACATTGGTCCTTCGAGCCTGATCGAACGCCGATCGACTCTACAGCGCGACTTAAGCGTGCAAGTAAGCGGATAAAAGAGGGTTGCTCGTCTCCGCTATGACGTCCGCCGAGGACCTCTTCGGCCTCATCGAGATCCAAGCCGATCGACAGCACCGTATAAGCCGACTCGTCGAGAATGCCCGTAAATCGGGACAGCTGAAAACACTGCCCGGTGTGCTCGCGCGGCTCAAGGTGCTCCAATCATATTGGGAGCAATTCGTAGAGGATCATCGCCCTCTGCGCGCATCCCGATACAAGGTGATCCGTGAATCCGAATACATTCGGCGCGACCTTTTTGGAGACACCGAGGAGCTCTACATCGCGCAGGAAATCGAGCTGCGCACCATTCAGGACGCTCTTTCGGCTCCTGGGCAGGGAGGCACCCGCGAGACGGTGCACGCGGTACCGGCTCAGGCGACGGTTTCCGAGGTTCAATTACCTCGAGTTCCGATCCCCACGTTCGACGGAGCCTTCGACGAGTGGCGTACATTTCGAGATCTCTTCTTGTCGCTAATAGGGGACAACAAGTCGCTTGCTGACGTGCATAAGATGCACTATTTGAAGCAGCACGTACGAGGGGAGCCGGAGAGACTCCTCCGCCATCATCCGGTTACCAGCACCGGTTATCAGGACGCCTGGGCTGCGTTGTGCGAGCGGTACGACAATGAATGGCTTCTCGTTGAACAATATCTCCATGCGTTCTTTGTAGCTACCGCCCATGCGCCGCGAGGCCGCTTCCGAGCTCCGCCGCGTGTTCGACAGAACGTGCGAGATCCGCTCCTCGCTCAGTCAGCTCGGCAGGCCAACAGAGCAATGGGACGACATTTTCGTGTACCGCACGGTTGCTGCGTTGGACAGCGCAATCCGGCGGGATTGGGAGCGGTCCACGAACAAAATCCGCCAGCCGGTGCGGTGGAGCACCCTGGCGGACTTCTTGAGATCGAAGATCCGTGAGTTGGATTCCGTGGAAGGGAAGTCCCGTACGGCGGGCGGCAGCACTGGCGGGGCCCGTGCGTGGGGGTCTCCTGCCAGCGATCGTACCGCGAAGCCTCGGGACGCAAGGGTCGCTGTGCCCTATGCACCAAGCCGCACCCCTTATGGGATTGCTCGGCATTCAAGGCCCTCGCCCCAGCGGAGCGACGCCGCCGAGTGAGTGAGTGGGGTCACTGCCAGAACTGCTTCTCCGATCAGCATCGGAGCAGTCAGTGCGCGTCCACCCGACGTTGCCGGGACTGTGCGCTAGCTCACCACTCACTGCTGCATGAAGCCGAGCCCGCGTCCCCCGCTCTTAGAAAGGAGAACGCCGTGCTCTCTTTGCACGCCGTCGTCAGGCCGCCCGCCGGGCGAGCTCTGCTGGCTACGGCGCAGGTTCAATTAAGATCTGAAGGCGGGCGGATGATCACCGTCCGAGCGCTGATCGACCCGGGTTCGGAGGTAAATCTTATCTCCGAGTCAGCAGCGCAGCAGCTGCGAGTGCGACGCCAAGCAACTCGAATCCGCCTGACCGGGGCGACTGGCAGTCAGGGACAGGTGGTGCGGGCAGTCACCTCATGTAGCATCCGGTCCACCTCGAAGACACCGTACCAGCAACCTATCGAGGCATTGATCCTGCCGAGGCTCACCGGTTATAGGCCGACCGTGACTGAGATCCCCCAGGAATGGCATCATCTCGCTGGGCTACCGTTAGCGGATGACTACCACAACGCAGCTCCCGTGATGGCGGTTCTCGAGGTTTACACCGCTATAGTCTTGCCGCAGATCCGGCGGGGCCTGCCACAGGCACCCATCGCACAGGCTACGCGTCTCGGCTGGCTACTCATGGGATCCACAACACAGGCGCGAGCAACTCGCCATGCCAACTGCAACACGCTACAGTCAGAGTTCGACCCGCTCCTCGATCAGCTGCGGCGGTTTTGGTCGTTGGAGGAGGTGCCCGAGGCCAACACCCTCACGCCGGAGGAAGAGGAGTGTGAGCAACATTTCAGGGCGACGCACGGACGACTGGAGGACGGACGGTACCAGGTGCGAGTTCCGTTCCAGCGAGGCGCCGCCCTCGGGGATTCGAAACCGGCCGCTCGCGCCTCATTGGCGCGCCTGGAGCGGCGGTTCCAGAGCCAGCCGGAACTCCGCGAGGCGTATGTCGCGTTTATGGGCGATTACGAGCGACTCAGACACATGAGTCGTGTCACTGAGACCAGTCATGACGGGGGCCCTGTGTTCTTCCTGCCACATCATCCGGTGATAAAGGGATCAGGGGCGACGCTCAAGGTACGTGTGGTGTTCAACGCGTCCCAGACCTGTGCCTCGGGCGCTTCGCTGAACTCGATGGTCCGTGTGGGTCCCCGGTTGCAACTCGATCTTGGGGCCATACTATTGCGATGGCGCTTGGCTCCCGTCGTGTTTATCGCTGACATTGAGCAGATGTATCGGCAGATACAGGTACACTCAGAGGACCAACCGCTCCAACGGATCCTGTGGCGGTTCGGGCCCACGGAGCCAGTCCACGTCTATCAGCTACACACCGTCACTTACGGCACGGCCTGCGCGCCTTTCCTGGCATTGCGCGTTCTAAAGCAGCTGGCAATAGATGAAGGCCACCGCTTCCCGCGAGCTGCAAAGCTATTGAGACAGTGCACTTATGTGGACGACGTGTTGGCGGATGCCGACACAGTACAAGAGGCACTCGCCCTACAGCAGGAGATAGGCGATCTCCTCAGGGCGGGCGGCTTCTCGCTTAAGAAGTGAGCGGCCAATAACCAGGCGCTACTGAAGACAGTGCCGGCGGACTGCTGTCTGCCACTGGTGCCCCTTCGCCATCCTGACGAGCTCAGCACCTCGGTATTGGGAGTCCGTTGGGTGCCAGGGGAGGATGCGTTCGCCTATGGCGACGCCCTGAGCTTGCCCTCGACGGCGACCAAGCGCGCCATACTATCCGCCATCGCGAGAATCTTCGATCCTCTCGGATGGATAAGTCCGGTCGTAATTGCAGGTAAGATCCTGCTGCAGGAACTCTGGCTGGCGGGCGTAGGTTGGGATGCGACTCTGCCCCAGACGCTGGCGACCCAATGGCAGCATTATCGACGCGATCTCAACGACGTGAGCGACATTCGGCTGCACCGTTGGCTGGGGTTTACGGGGCCCGAAGCGGTCGCGGAAGTTCACGGGTTCTGCGACGCCTCCGAACGCGCCTACGCAGCCGCCATTTACATGGTGGTTCGGGTCCGAGAACGCCAACCGGTGTCGCGCTTGCTGACGGCCAAGAGCAAGGTGTCTCCGGTGAAGCGGGTATCGCTACCGAGACTGGAACTCTGCGGAGCACACCTGCTGGCGCGACTCCTGCGCTGGGTGCGAGAGACGCTCTCACCCGTCTCCACGGTCACGCATTGCTGGACCGACTCGATGGTCGCGTTGACCTGGATTAGGCAGCACCCATCCAGATGGGATACGTTTGTGGAGAACCGAGTAGCCGCCATACACGAATTGCTTTTTTCAGTTCATTGGGGCCACGTCCCCACGAAGGAGAACCCGGCAGATTGCGCGTCAAGAGGCCTGTCCCCTCGATCACTGCGGGACCAGCGATTGTGATGGCACGGGCCGGACTGGTTGGCTCTGTCTCCCGACCAATGGCCTCGGGGGGAACCCGCGACTGCTGCGGCCTGCAATCTTGTGCACATCCACGAAGTGCCGGCCAACCCGAGGACCGAACCCCTGTCGCAAGACGGAGGGGGTGACCGCGGTCTCCTTGTATCCCAGGGCGCTGCGCGTGATGGCATACGTGTTGCGCGTCTGCCGCCGATCGCCGGGCCCGACCGAAGTAATCACTACCGCCGAATACCGGAACGCCGAGGCCAAACTCATCGCCTTCACGCAGCGGGCCTTCTTTCAGGCAGAACTGGACCGTCTGCGCGCCGGACGACCTCTGCCGTTCACAAGTCGCCTGTGTCAGCTCCGTCCGGTTTTGGACGTTGACGGATTGCTGCACGTGGACGGGCGACTGAGATTTGCGGACTTGGGTCACGATGCGCGAAATCCGTTGATCCTCCCCCGAGACGCTCGTCTGACGGAACTCATGATCCGCGAGGCCCATGAGCGGACCCTACACGGGGGGGTACAGCTCACACACACCCGGCTTCGGCAGCGTTACTGGATCCCCACCGGCCGGGCTCTAGTGAGGCGGGTGTTACACCGCTGCGTGGTATGCGCCCGGCATCGCGCGCGGCCCATGGCTCCGCTGATGGCCCCGTTGCCGCGGGAGCGAGTGATGCCGGCGCCACCTTTCCAAGTCGCCGGCGTGAATTACGCGGGACCGGTCACCCTGACCGCAGTGCGCGGACGAGGACGCTCTTCGTTTAAAGAATACATCGCCGTGTTTGTATGTTTCACCACTCGCGCGATCCATTTGGAGCTCGTGTGTGACTACTCGTCCGAGGCGATTCTAGCCGCGTTCCAGCGGTTTTCGGCGCGTCGCGGAGTGCCGGCGGTGCTATACAGCGACCAGGGCACAACGTTTTTCGGGGCTGACCGAGCGCTGCGCGCCCAGCTCCGAACCGCATTGGATGTGGGAGGTCCAGTGGCTCGGGCTCTTGCTGCGGACGGTACGGAGTGGCGATTCGTACCCCCTTCGGCGCCTCACTTTGGCGGACTGTGGGAGGCCGGGGCGCGGTCGGTGAAACACCACCTGCGGCGCGTACTGGGGCAGAGGCTGCTCAGCGTGGAGGAGTTCTCCACCTGGCTGACACGTGTGGAGGCGTGTCTAAATTCCCGGCCCCTGAGTCCGCTAACTCAGGATCCGGGGGACCTGGACGTACTTACGCCGGGCCACTTCCTCATAGGAAGACCGATTAACGCTGTCCCAGAGCCGAGTCTGGCCACCGTGCCTGAACATCGCCTCGGGCGGTGGCAACTCATCCAGCGACTCACCAAGCACCTCTGGGACCGCTGGTCGCGCGAATACCTCGCTCAATTACAGGCGCGCCAGAAGTGGACAGGAGGAGGATTCACCCCAGGTCGGCGAGCTAGTGTTGCTCCTCAATTCCCGACTCCCCCCCCACGAAGTGGGCCATAGGTCGGATCCAGGAATTAATGCCCGGCCCCGACGGGCACATACGCGTGGCCCGCGTGCGAACAGCCGACACCGCTCTGACGCGCCTTCCCGTGGTAAAACTGGCGCGCCTCCCGTGGAGGGGGCCGCAACCACCCCCGCACAACCGGATTGAGTCTATCGCAGAGACGGAGGCGGGCGGGATGTTCCGGACGGCCGTTGGGTGTCCATGAGGAACGGGTACGGCGGGCGGCCGAGCCCTAGGCGCCGCTCAACTCGCGGTTAATTCTCGCTTAGGCGCCTATATAAGACGCCGCGCGAGACCACTCATGGCTTTTATGCCTTTTGCCTGTTGCCAGCTTTGACTGCACATCAGGTATTCTTTTACGCTCTAGCTAGCTTCAAATCGCCTTTTTGAGTGCGCAAGCACGTTGGGCACTTGCCTCACCAGAGGTATACTTGCATATCTGCATCGATCTTCACTGCCTTAAGAGTGTCGTAGACACGTTGGCATTTGTGTTTAGATTTCGGCAATTCTACACAACTTTTCGCAGCCCTTTAGAGTGCGCTTGCACGTTGGGCTAACGCCTCTAGAGTGTCCAAGGACACGTTGGCGTTTGGGTTACGAAGTGTATGGTAACTCCACGGATCTCCACCTTCTCAATACGATCGAGGATTGAGAGAAGGTTTCGCGCGATCACTTTGGATTGCCTTGACGCTTCCACCGCGGTGGACGTCTCTCTTCGCGACTTCTCCCGTATTGCATATACTGGATATTATCGCCGACAGAACTTACTGTTGGGATCACGCCTCCGCGCGAGTCGTCATTGTCATCAAGAACTCTGCGGCCAGGGCCGCAGCTCTCCCGCGAGCCACGCTCGCATTTACGTCCGCCTAGGACTTAGCCGCTGCCAGGGACGCAGCATATACACGCGAGCCCAGCTCGCCTTCACGTCCGCACCGGACTTAGTCGTTGTCAGGGACGCAGCTCTCAGGCGAGCCAAGCTCGCTATTGCTTCGCTGCCAGGGCCGCAGCCCTCACGCGAGACATACTCGCTATTACTTCCCTGCAAGAGGCACAGCGCTCTCGCACCACCTGATCGCTGGCCTAAGTCTACTCAAGACTTCTACATCGTCGCATCCGCAACTCTATATGCGAGGACTCTTCGCTTCTCGCCTCGACGAGACTTAGCATTCGTCACGCACACGGTATTATCAACGTTTACGGTTACCTGCACGTCAACGTCAGGCTTCGACTCGGCCGCGTACGCGATTCAGAGTTACGTTTGCGTGTAAGCTCTTACTACAAGACATCGCATTTGCTGCGTGCGCGACTGATAAAGGCGAGTTCAGCTCGTCTGTCTATCATCTCGGATTCAGCCTCTGTTGCTTCCTCGCCAAACAGAGCTGAATCTCATTCGGACCGGTTCCGACACTCACCAAAGGAGACGGACTAGTGTCTCCATACTCTGAGTGACTATCATCCTCCGAAAGAGGGATTCATTCCCAGCGCGGAGGCGCCGGGCAACTCCACGCGGGCTTTATACTGAGCCACGCAGTGCGCTTATACACAAGAACGCTCTCGCACTTCCTCTCACCATCTTCCGAGGCTCCTGAATAGGAGAGCACAACATATACTCGCGCAACTGACGATAGCAGTCGACGAACGTTCGACGGCATATGACGAACCAGCCGCTCTAGACCTCAGGCCGTTCGAAACATTGGTCCTTCGAGCCTGATCGAACGCCGATCGACTCTACAGCGCGACTTAAGCGTGCAAGTAAGCGGATAAAAGAGGGTTGCTCGTCTCCGCTATGACGTCCGCCGAGGACCTCTTCGGCCTCATCGAGATCCAAGCCGATCGACAGCACCGTATAAGCCGACTCGTCGAGAATGCCCGTAAATCGGGACAGCTGAAAACACTGCCCGGTGTGCTCGCGCGGCTCAAGGTGCTCCAATCATATTGGGAGCAATTCGTAGAGGATCATCGCCCTCTGCGCGCATCCCGATACAAGGTGATCCGTGAATCCGAATACATTCGGCGCGACCTTTTTGGAGACACCGAGGAGCTCTACATCGCGCAGGAAATCGAGCTGCGCACCATTCAGGACGCTCTTTCGGCTCCTGGGCAGGGAGGCACCCGCGAGACGGTGCACGCGGTACCGGCTCAGGCGACGGTTTCCGAGGTTCAATTACCTCGAGTTCCGATCCCCACGTTCGACGGAGCCTTCGACGAGTGGCGTACATTTCGAGATCTCTTCTTGTCGCTAATAGGGGACAACAAGTCGCTTGCTGACGTGCATAAGATGCACTATTTGAAGCAGCACGTACGAGGGGAGCCGGAGAGACTCCTCCGCCATCATCCGGTTACCAGCACCGGTTATCAGGACGCCTGGGCTGCGTTGTGCGAGCGGTACGACAATGAATGGCTTCTCGTTGAACAATATCTCCATGCGTTCTTTGTAGCTACCGCCCATGCGCCGCGAGGCCGCTTCCGAGCTCCGCCGCGTGTTCGACAGAACGTGCGAGATCCGCTCCTCGCTCAGTCAGCTCGGCAGGCCAACAGAGCAATGGGACGACATTTTCGTGTACCGCACGGTTGCTGCGTTGGACAGCGCAATCCGGCGGGATTGGGAGCGGTCCACGAACAAAATCCGCCAGCCGGTGCGGTGGAGCACCCTGGCGGACTTCTTGAGATCGAAGATCCGTGAGTTGGATTCCGTGGAAGGGAAGTCCCGTACGGCGGGCGGCAGCACTGGCGGGGCCCGTGCGTGGGGGTCTCCTGCCAGCGATCGTACCGCGAAGCCTCGGGACGCAAGGGTCGCTGTGCCCTATGCACCAAGCCGCACCCCTTATGGGATTGCTCGGCATTCAAGGCCCTCGCCCCAGCGGAGCGACGCCGCCGAGTGAGTGAGTGGGGTCACTGCCAGAACTGCTTCTCCGATCAGCATCGGAGCAGTCAGTGCGCGTCCACCCGACGTTGCCGGGACTGTGCGCTAGCTCACCACTCACTGCTGCATGAAGCCGAGCCCGCGTCCCCCGCTCTTAGAAAGGAGAACGCCGTGCTCTCTTTGCACGCCGTCGTCAGGCCGCCCGCCGGGCGAGCTCTGCTGGCTACGGCGCAGGTTCAATTAAGATCTGAAGGCGGGCGGATGATCACCGTCCGAGCGCTGATCGACCCGGGTTCGGAGGTAAATCTTATCTCCGAGTCAGCAGCGCAGCAGCTGCGAGTGCGACGCCAAGCAACTCGAATCCGCCTGACCGGGGCGACTGGCAGTCAGGGACAGGTGGTGCGGGCAGTCACCTCATGTAGCATCCGGTCCACCTCGAAGACACCGTACCAGCAACCTATCGAGGCATTGATCCTGCCGAGGCTCACCGGTTATAGGCCGACCGTGACTGAGATCCCCCAGGAATGGCATCATCTCGCTGGGCTACCGTTAGCGGATGACTACCACAACGCAGCTCCCGTGATGGCGGTTCTCGAGGTTTACACCGCTATAGTCTTGCCGCAGATCCGGCGGGGCCTGCCACAGGCACCCATCGCACAGGCTACGCGTCTCGGCTGGCTACTCATGGGATCCACAACACAGGCGCGAGCAACTCGCCATGCCAACTGCAACACGCTACAGTCAGAGTTCGACCCGCTCCTCGATCAGCTGCGGCGGTTTTGGTCGTTGGAGGAGGTGCCCGAGGCCAACACCCTCACGCCGGAGGAAGAGGAGTGTGAGCAACATTTCAGGGCGACGCACGGACGACTGGAGGACGGACGGTACCAGGTGCGAGTTCCGTTCCAGCGAGGCGCCGCCCTCGGGGATTCGAAACCGGCCGCTCGCGCCTCATTGGCGCGCCTGGAGCGGCGGTTCCAGAGCCAGCCGGAACTCCGCGAGGCGTATGTCGCGTTTATGGGCGATTACGAGCGACTCAGACACATGAGTCGTGTCACTGAGACCAGTCATGACGGGGGCCCTGTGTTCTTCCTGCCACATCATCCGGTGATAAAGGGATCAGGGGCGACGCTCAAGGTACGTGTGGTGTTCAACGCGTCCCAGACCTGTGCCTCGGGCGCTTCGCTGAACTCGATGGTCCGTGTGGGTCCCCGGTTGCAACTCGATCTTGGGGCCATACTATTGCGATGGCGCTTGGCTCCCGTCGTGTTTATCGCTGACATTGAGCAGATGTATCGGCAGATACAGGTACACTCAGAGGACCAACCGCTCCAACGGATCCTGTGGCGGTTCGGGCCCACGGAGCCAGTCCACGTCTATCAGCTACACACCGTCACTTACGGCACGGCCTGCGCGCCTTTCCTGGCATTGCGCGTTCTAAAGCAGCTGGCAATAGATGAAGGCCACCGCTTCCCGCGAGCTGCAAAGCTATTGAGACAGTGCACTTATGTGGACGACGTGTTGGCGGATGCCGACACAGTACAAGAGGCACTCGCCCTACAGCAGGAGATAGGCGATCTCCTCAGGGCGGGCGGCTTCTCGCTTAAGAAGTGAGCGGCCAATAACCAGGCGCTACTGAAGACAGTGCCGGCGGACTGCTGTCTGCCACTGGTGCCCCTTCGCCATCCTGACGAGCTCAGCACCTCGGTATTGGGAGTCCGTTGGGTGCCAGGGGAGGATGCGTTCGCCTATGGCGACGCCCTGAGCTTGCCCTCGACGGCGACCAAGCGCGCCATACTATCCGCCATCGCGAGAATCTTCGATCCTCTCGGATGGATAAGTCCGGTCGTAATTGCAGGTAAGATCCTGCTGCAGGAACTCTGGCTGGCGGGCGTAGGTTGGGATGCGACTCTGCCCCAGACGCTGGCGACCCAATGGCAGCATTATCGACGCGATCTCAACGACGTGAGCGACATTCGGCTGCACCGTTGGCTGGGGTTTACGGGGCCCGAAGCGGTCGCGGAAGTTCACGGGTTCTGCGACGCCTCCGAACGCGCCTACGCAGCCGCCATTTACATGGTGGTTCGGGTCCGAGAACGCCAACCGGTGTCGCGCTTGCTGACGGCCAAGAGCAAGGTGTCTCCGGTGAAGCGGGTATCGCTACCGAGACTGGAACTCTGCGGAGCACACCTGCTGGCGCGACTCCTGCGCTGGGTGCGAGAGACGCTCTCACCCGTCTCCACGGTCACGCATTGCTGGACCGACTCGATGGTCGCGTTGACCTGGATTAGGCAGCACCCATCCAGATGGGATACGTTTGTGGAGAACCGAGTAGCCGCCATACACGAATTGCTTTTTTCAGTTCATTGGGGCCACGTCCCCACGAAGGAGAACCCGGCAGATTGCGCGTCAAGAGGCCTGTCCCCTCGATCACTGCGGGACCAGCGATTGTGATGGCACGGGCCGGACTGGTTGGCTCTGTCTCCCGACCAATGGCCTCGGGGGGAACCCGCGACTGCTGCGGCCTGCAATCTTGTGCACATCCACGAAGTGCCGGCCAACCCGAGGACCGAACCCCTGTCGCAAGACGGAGGGGGTGACCGCGGTCTCCTTGTATCCCAGGGCGCTGCGCGTGATGGCATACGTGTTGCGCGTCTGCCGCCGATCGCCGGGCCCGACCGAAGTAATCACTACCGCCGAATACCGGAACGCCGAGGCCAAACTCATCGCCTTCACGCAGCGGGCCTTCTTTCAGGCAGAACTGGACCGTCTGCGCGCCGGACGACCTCTGCCGTTCACAAGTCGCCTGTGTCAGCTCCGTCCGGTTTTGGACGTTGACGGATTGCTGCACGTGGACGGGCGACTGAGATTTGCGGACTTGGGTCACGATGCGCGAAATCCGTTGATCCTCCCCCGAGACGCTCGTCTGACGGAACTCATGATCCGCGAGGCCCATGAGCGGACCCTACACGGGGGGGTACAGCTCACACACACCCGGCTTCGGCAGCGTTACTGGATCCCCACCGGCCGGGCTCTAGTGAGGCGGGTGTTACACCGCTGCGTGGTATGCGCCCGGCATCGCGCGCGGCCCATGGCTCCGCTGATGGCCCCGTTGCCGCGGGAGCGAGTGATGCCGGCGCCACCTTTCCAAGTCGCCGGCGTGAATTACGCGGGACCGGTCACCCTGACCGCAGTGCGCGGACGAGGACGCTCTTCGTTTAAAGAATACATCGCCGTGTTTGTATGTTTCACCACTCGCGCGATCCATTTGGAGCTCGTGTGTGACTACTCGTCCGAGGCGATTCTAGCCGCGTTCCAGCGGTTTTCGGCGCGTCGCGGAGTGCCGGCGGTGCTATACAGCGACCAGGGCACAACGTTTTTCGGGGCTGACCGAGCGCTGCGCGCCCAGCTCCGAACCGCATTGGATGTGGGAGGTCCAGTGGCTCGGGCTCTTGCTGCGGACGGTACGGAGTGGCGATTCGTACCCCCTTCGGCGCCTCACTTTGGCGGACTGTGGGAGGCCGGGGCGCGGTCGGTGAAACACCACCTGCGGCGCGTACTGGGGCAGAGGCTGCTCAGCGTGGAGGAGTTCTCCACCTGGCTGACACGTGTGGAGGCGTGTCTAAATTCCCGGCCCCTGAGTCCGCTAACTCAGGATCCGGGGGACCTGGACGTACTTACGCCGGGCCACTTCCTCATAGGAAGACCGATTAACGCTGTCCCAGAGCCGAGTCTGGCCACCGTGCCTGAACATCGCCTCGGGCGGTGGCAACTCATCCAGCGACTCACCAAGCACCTCTGGGACCGCTGGTCGCGCGAATACCTCGCTCAATTACAGGCGCGCCAGAAGTGGACAGGAGGAGGATTCACCCCAGGTCGGCGAGCTAGTGTTGCTCCTCAATTCCCGACTCCCCCCCCACGAAGTGGGCCATAGGTCGGATCCAGGAATTAATGCCCGGCCCCGACGGGCACATACGCGTGGCCCGCGTGCGAACAGCCGACACCGCTCTGACGCGCCTTCCCGTGGTAAAACTGGCGCGCCTCCCGTGGAGGGGGCCGCAACCACCCCCGCACAACCGGATTGAGTCTATCGCAGAGACGGAGGCGGGCGGGATGTTCCGGACGGCCGTTGGGTGTCCATGAGGAACGGGTACGGCGGGCGGCCGAGCCCTAGGCGCCGCTCAACTCGCGGTTAATTCTCGCTTAGGCGCCTATATAAGACGCCGCGCGAGACCACTCATGGCTTTTATGCCTTTTGCCTGTTGCCAGCTTTGACTGCACATCAGGTATTCTTTTACGCTCTAGCTAGCTTCAAATCGCCTTTTTGAGTGCGCAAGCACGTTGGGCACTTGCCTCACCAGAGGTATACTTGCATATCTGCATCGATCTTCACTGCCTTAAGAGTGTCGTAGACACGTTGGCATTTGTGTTTAGATTTCGGCAATTCTACACAACTTTTCGCAGCCCTTTAGAGTGCGCTTGCACGTTGGGCTAACGCCTCTAGAGTGTCCAAGGACACGTTGGCGTTTGGGTTACGAAGTGTATGGTAACTCCACGGATCTCCACCTTCTCAATACGATCGAGGATTGAGAGAAGGTTTCGCGCGATCACTTTGGATTGCCTTGACGCTTCCACCGCGGTGGACGTCTCTCTTCGCGACTTCTCCCGTATTGCATATACTGGATATTATCGCCGACAGAACTTACTGTTGGGATCACGCCTCCGCGCGAGTCGTCATTGTCATCAAGAACTCTGCGGCCAGGGCCGCAGCTCTCCCGCGAGCCACGCTCGCATTTACGTCCGCCTAGGACTTAGCCGCTGCCAGGGACGCAGCATATACACGCGAGCCCAGCTCGCCTTCACGTCCGCACCGGACTTAGTCGTTGTCAGGGACGCAGCTCTCAGGCGAGCCAAGCTCGCTATTGCTTCGCTGCCAGGGCCGCAGCCCTCACGCGAGACATACTCGCTATTACTTCCCTGCAAGAGGCACAGCGCTCTCGCACCACCTGATCGCTGGCCTAAGTCTACTCAAGACTTCTACATCGTCGCATCCGCGACTCAATATGCGAGGACTCTTCGCTTCTCGCCTCGACGAGACTTAGCATTCGTCACGCACACGGTATTATCAACGCACGTTTACGGTTACCTGCACGTCAACGTCAGGCTTCGACTCGGCCGCGTACGCGATTCAGAGTTACGTTTGCGTGTAGGCTCTCACTACAAGACATCGCATTTGCTGCGTGCGCGACTGATAAAGGCGAGTTCAGCTCGTCTGTCTATCATCTCGGATTCAGCCTCTGTTGCTTCCTCGCCAAACAGAGCTGAATCTCATTCGGACCGGTTCCGACACTCACCAAAGGAGACGGACTAGTGTCTCCATACTCTGAGTGACTATCATCCTCCGAAAGAGGGATTCATTCCCAGCGCGGAGGCGCCGGGCAACTCCACGCGGGCTTTATACTGAGCC